ATTTCCCTGAGCTGGCCTATGAAGGGCCACGCACAAGATATAACAGCAGACGTAGTTAAGATCCACACAGAAAATCACACAGCTTCAGAATCACTTATATGTGAACTCGACTCCACTTCCATCCTTTTGTGTCTGGCTGACCTTTGAAGAGTGTCTTAACATCTCTGATTCTCCACGTTTCCTATTAAATAAGAACAGTGTCTCTTATCCCGCGTGGCTCAGTTGGGACAGTGCTCGCCTAGCTTGCTTGAAGCCCTGGGCTCAATCTAACCTGCCAGCGAGTGATGCTTAAAACTGGTCATAGCAGTGAGTGTCTATAATTCCAGCACTCCTGGGGTAAAAGCTAGAGGATCAGAAGTTCAAGGTCATCTGCGGCTGTACTGTGAACTTGAAGGCAGCCTGAGTTACATGAAACTTTCTCAGGAAGAAAATAAAGGGAGTGGGGGAGGTTAAGGAAGGATGGAGGGAGAGGATGGAGGGCCTTCAGAGTTGTTGATGCCCAACCATTCACTTCTGTTGGTTCACCACAATAGCAGTCTATTGAGGGCTGCAGAGGGAACACAAACCCTGGCAGGACCAGGGAATCCAGCCTGGAGGCTTCCCAAGTTACACCTGTCCCTGAAACTGGCAGAGGCCAGTTTGTGCCTCCTGTCCCAGACCTGCAGGGCAACTGCTGCTGCTGATCCTTCCTAGGCCCCAGACCAAACGGGCCGGCCCATGGTGCCCTCTGCCATTCCTGCAATGTTCTCACGGGCTCCGGAAAGCTCCCCTCCGCCAGCTTATTTTTCTCCATGTTGTTCGACTCACTCAAGACAGTTATCTGTTCTGAAGGCTCCATCTTCCCCCTGGGGGAAGCCCAGAGTTTAAGCTCCTCTCTGAGAACAGGACGGTGTGACTTGGGCAGAAGGCACATGCTTTCCTTATAACCTCAATATTTCATCCTTCCAGCCCCAACTCACAGCCATGCCTCTCTCTGTTCTGAACCTTAGACACATCTTTGGGCCACCTGCTGAATTCTCACTTCTTGTTTGAGTTCAGTTCCTGTTACCAGCTTACTCACTACCTGCCTGGGTTTTGTTTTGTTTTGTTGCTGTTGTTGTTGTTGTTTGGTTTTTTTTTTTGTTTTTGTTTTTTTTTTTTACTCAATACCCTAAGGTATCTAAAGCCCGAAGCCCAGGTCTTAGCCTTGGCTGCAAATTTAAATAAAGGGAAGAGTGTGATCGAATTGGTCTCGAGCGAGTCCGGGTGTGAGCATTTTTAACAGCTCCTCAATTTATTTTAGCATGGGAACTGTCTCCCAAAATCCCATCAAATTTTTGCCTCAAACACCAAAGGCTTTAAGCAAAGAGTAAAAATTGAAAATGTAATATCAAACAAGAGTGGAAGAGGCTAATGTATTCCCAACCTCTCATAACTATCCGCAAATATTAACTTCTGAATTGACAGTTTTGCAAATAAGCTTTTTCAGGGTTTTCATCTTCTAGATTTGAAAGTCATTTGAATTCCCACAAGGTCATTGTTATCTATTAAGATTAAATTTAAATGGAAATGGGGATGGGGGCGGGTACCTGCTGGTCTTCCAGAGGACCCAAGTCCTGTTCCCAGCTCCCATGTTGGGTAACTTCTGTCTGTAACTCTGGCTCCAGGGACCAGTTGCTCTTTTTCTGTTTTTTTTTTTTTTTTCAGATACTCACCTCTCTCTCTCTCTCTCTCTCTCTCTCACACACACACACACACACACACACACACACACACACACACCCCACATACACACACCACACACACATACCACATACACACCACACACACACACCACACACATCACACACACCACACACACTCACACCACACACACACAACACACACCACACACACACACACACACACACACACACACACACACACACACACGTACACACCACAGATAAATATTAAAAAGCAAAGGGGAGATGAAGGGAGAAGGGCCCTTAAAGCATGTGACATCTTGTTTGGTTATTTCGTCTTTCTGAGACAAGAGAGGAATCACAATTTCTAAATTCTGCCTATTTCAAATGTTGGATTCACTCGGTGATGTGAACTATCTGATGACAAACATTTCTGTAAAAAAGCTGACAGCTGGGAAGACCCTGGCTGTTTATTTCCCTTTCTCAGCTCCACTCATCTCTTGTCAATTTACTTATATATTTATCCTTCTGAAATATCAATTACTATGAACGAAAAGAGCAGAAGGAAGGAATCAATAGGCCCTCACCTACGGGTTACATAAAATACAACAGAGAAATCGAAAAGTCCGGGAAAACATTTGAACATGGCTCTGTTTACATACAATACCAGATCTCTGGAGTTGAGAGGTTAGAGGGTGGTAACCATGGGAACCGCGGACCTGTTGATGCTGCTGCCCGCTGGTGCTTTTGAAAACCATGAGAGCTCTTCACCTCAAACTGCCCCTTGGAATATAACCTGGAAGAATACAGACATGAAGAAGCAAAAGGTCCCCCCAAGAGGTGGACACTTCCCACACTTTTTGATCCAATTAATTCGGGGTTTGAAACCACCCTGGCTTTGTATCTCTTGGGGTGGAATTCAGGGAAATCGAAAGAGGAAAGAGGAGCACATGGATGCAAAACTGTGCTTTGAATTGGAAACCAAGGGAGCAGTTTATCCTTCCATAAACATTTGTGAAGAGGTGAATTATTGCATCACCAATGGACCCCACTTTCCCTTCTTTTATCTTCTGTTGATGGAAGCAAAACAATAGCAATAAAAGGAGGAGGGCTTTTGTTTGGTTGGTTGGTTTGGTTTGGTTTGTTTGTCTCAAATTTTGCTACTAAGTGTTTTAACTACTATTTACCCCTCCAAGAGATAACGCACGAAGTCTACCCCTGTCAGTGCCTGTGCTAAAAGGTCAGGTCCTTGGAGCCCTGACAAGATTCACCCGGAAGGGCCTAGTCAGGTGAACTCGGGGAATGGTTGAGAGCTCAGCTGAGTTTCACAGGTGAAGTCCCGTGTATTCTGGTGGCTGGAGAACTGCCTGTAATCGAGCCACCTTTAACAAAGCCCCCTCTCCCTTCCTGGGTCCCCAGACAGCAATACCTCACAGCTCCAGTACCTCTGTCCTGGTCTCTTCTGTAGGCCTTACCCCAATGGAGAACTGTTTTATTTATCTATTTATTTATTTGTTTGTTTGTTTGTTTATTTTTGGTTTTTCCAGACAGGGTTTCTCTGTGCAGCTCTGGCTGTCCTGGAACTCACTCTGGAGACCAGGCTGGCCTCGAACTCACAGAGATCCACCTGCCTCTCTGCCTCCCGAGTGCTGGGATTGCAGGCGTGCGCCACCACCGCCCGGCGAAATGTTTCATTTATTTCTGCTTTCCTTTGTCCTCCCCCACCTACAATTGTACGCATGCTCTTTAAGTTCCAGCAATTGTCCTGGCCCCTAGGTCCTCCACATCTGTTTCAGCGCTGCTTCCCAACAAGTATGAGCAAATGCTGAATTAGTTTACCATCTTGGCTCCAAAATGATGGGTCTTTTGCTTTGGGGGTTTGGTTTTGTTTTGTTTTCTATCTGCAAGAAAAGGGGAGGGGTAGAGCCGAAGAGCAGAAAATGGACAAACACATCTGTCACAGCTTCCGCGATCTCCTGCCCTACGTCCCTTAGCAAGGCCCCCACGGTGCTTTTTAAGATCGGTGAATGAAACCTTTCCACCTTAAATGTGGAAGCCGGTGGCTGCACAGAAGCCGCAGAAGTGTGGAGGTCACCACAAAGAGCTGCAGGTTAAACACGGCGTGATGTGTCTGTCCTTAGAGAAAGGGGAGAAAACTTTGATGAGAACAGATCTAAAAACCTCTTGATCTCTTTGAGGGGAGAGAGGCTGGATCTTTTCTTCTCTGTCATTTTATCATTTTTGATTTCAAACTTGAATTGTTCCCTTGGCTTCCAATTAAACCGCCGTCCGTGCCCCGTGCACTCCCCCCCCCCCCCCCCCACCTCTTAGAGTAACTCTTAGGGCTAAATTAGGACTTGGAAAAGAATCTTGTCAATCAGTCTTTTTGTTGAAGAGGATAAAGAAGGCCGGGCTATGCTGAGAGAGGGTCTTAGGACTCAGAAGGACTCCAAGGTCTCTAGACTCCCGGCTACTCCTCCGTGGTCCATCCAACTCACATCGACTCTGCCCCTCCTGAACGGGGCCTCATCCACATCCCAGCCTCAACACAACAGTTCAGGAGGCAGTCGGCCCCTGCCCTGTCTGCTCTGAAAGCCAGGACAGCCTCCCAGATGTCAGCCAAGAGTGTCCCTTTTCCTGGCAGCGCTAGCCTGCCTTTCTCCCATCAGCAATTAGCACAGCCCCATCCTGGAAACCGGCCCATGCTTGAACACACTTCTCTTTCTCCTTCATCATAACATGGGTAGGCTCAGGAAAACCCCAAGATTTACATCCTAGCCAGAAAGCCTTGCTTTAATTTCCCCAGGCAGAAGAAACCGTCTCCCCCAAAGGCTTTGGTAGTGAGTGTGTTAAGTAGAGGGGAAGAGAAAAGACCGCGTTCCCAAAAGCACGGCTGTGGACTCACCCTGGTCCTCAAGTGTGGCAGGCAGAACTGAGGCCCTACCTCGTCCTCCTACCTGTTCATTTCTGTGTGAACTGAGCCACACAGACATCTTTCCCCTGTAGAACTCTGCTTACTTCCAATAATGTTCAAGGGCAATTAAGAGATTGTTTTTGTTTGTTTCCCAAGATTTCATATAACATCTAGTCCCACTATGGTCTTGAAGCTTTGTTAGTTGGCTTGGCATTTTTTTTTTTTTTTTTTTTTTTTTTTTGGACAGGGGATTCGCGTTGGTTTTAATTAATAAGACGCGCTGTTACCATTTGAGAAAGGTCACAAGTCACGACACCAATGTTGGCTTTAAATTTGGCGCTTTTTCTCTGTGAGGAAAGGTCATGAGGCGCAACAAAACTCAGTATCAGAGCTTTATTGGTGGGGGGGGGGGGGGCAGAAGAGAGCGTGGCCAGGCCTGTTGGAAGAGACACATGAGAAGGGAGAGAGGGGGGAGGAGAGAGCAGAAGAGAGGGGAGGAGTCTGTGTCTGGCTTTTTTAAGGATTCCCCTGCACATGCGCATGTGGGCCTATGGAGCTACACCACACGTGCACAGATTACGTGACCACGCAGCGCACAGCGCACAGATGACGTAAGACCCCTTCCTTGGCTACTGAACTGCACATGTGCGGTCATGCAGCTGGGGGAGTGGCCAAGAATTGTAACATTCTGAACTTTCTGCTTATTATGAAAAAGAGGATGAACAGGAATAGGGGCATGGTTTCTCCCGAAAACCTGCTTCCAGCTGACTTGGTGGACATCAGTTGACTCTTGGGGGCGTAGGGAAGGGAGCTTCTGAGGTAGACAGGCATCCTGGGGCCATCTGTTGCCTTGGAGCCGTCCATCATTTTCCATGGCTTGTGTCTGACAGGATGCTGATGAGACAGAGAAAAACTTAAAAAAAAAAAATTTTTTTTTAAATTTTTTCCTTTGGGGGGGTCCCAGGGTGAGAGAGGAGGTCCCAGGACCAGGAAAGTTTGAGTTGCACTTAACTGAAGCAGATCGACTATTGTCTTGTTTTTGTTAGTTGGCTTGGCATTTTTTGACAGAGGGTGGGCAAGTAGGAATTGATCCCTTTAAAACAAAGCTTCTCACCCTCATCTCAATCTAAAAATGTCTAAACTCACTTTTGTTTTGCTACTCTGGCTTGTGAAGTACTTGGAGAGTTTCACTTGTTTTATTTATTTTTTCTTGTTCATAGGTCTCATGTTCTGCTGCCTTTTTGCCAGACGGTTATTGATTTTCAGATAAGTCTACCTGCAGCTCACCCTGCAAAGCTGTCCATGTCAGGATAAATGTTGATTTGGCTCAAAGCTCTGCAGACTGGGAAGTCTAAGCCTTCTTCTTGGATGGAAGCATCATGGTAGTCAACAGCATGATGAGACCAAACAAGGGTGTTAGTTCAAGTCTCTCTCTCTTCATCTTTTTATAAAATCACTAATGCGGGCTGGAGAGATGGCTCAGAGGTTAAGAGCACTGACTGTTCTTCCAGAGGTCCTGAGTTCAATTCCCAGCAACCACATGGTGGCTCACAACCACCTATAATGAGATCTGGTGCCCTCTTCTGGTCTGCAGGGACACATGCAAGCAGAACACTGTATACATAATAAATAAATAAATCTTAAAACAAAATAAAACAAAACAAAACAAAAAACCACTAATGCTACCCTAATGATGTCATCCAGCCCCAATTATCCCCCCAAGACCATCCCTCCAAACAACACCGTCAACAGATACATTTTGGATTAAGTTTCTAGCATGTAATTTTGGAGGGGCACATTCTAAATTATACATCCCTCAAGGCTCTGAGCCTCTGGGGTCCCGTGTCTTCATATTCTCTTGGTCTGCAAGCTGGATTGTCATCCACCTTCCCAATTTTCCTCTCCTTGCTCAGTCTCTCTTTTTATAAGGCTCTCAGAAGAACTCCTTTTAGAAACTTCCAGCAGCTCTGTATGACTCATAGATTTTAGGCATGTTGGCATGAATTCCAGTCAAGATGGTGTTGTGAACTCCAAAGCGGAGGCTTTGTTTTGCTCCAAAAGCATTGCTGTAACATAAAAAAAAGAAAAAGAAAAAAGAAAACTCGAAATTCACTACCACATTTAAACAAGAAGCATACCCCAGTATACTGTAACCAGAAGAAAAGCCAAAAGTGGCTGTGTTCTAGTTCCTGGGGGTGGGGTGGTGGTGGGCGCAAAAGTGGGACAGAAGCAAAGAATCTTGGGTCCTTCTTCTGTAGTGACAATTCTGGGAAGCCATATTTTGGCCCACATCACCTTACCCACTCACCCCAAAACTTCCAAGAGAACTAAGAATGGGCTCTTTCCCCATCAGGTCCAAAGGAAGCTCCAATTCCCCCAACTCCAAAAGGCAGTCTGTATATCCAGAAATAGGCTGAGGATTTCTGGTGGCTAGATAAAAGCCAGCATTCCTCAGAGACTTGTAAAACCAGCTCCCATCTACCGAAAAGAGTCACTCCCATAACTATAATTCCGGTACCTACGTTCTGAAGATAGAGTTAAATGGATAGTTGGATCATAAAGAATTCTCCAGACTTCTTCTACAGACTGGTCGTGTTCCTCCAAGGGCAAGCCCAAAAGAGGGCCTCCCTCAATGTGTTTGGACCACTCATGGTCACTCACTGTGCCACTATGCCAAAGACCAAGGGGAATGTATCCTTAAGGACTGATCCTGGCAGTACATCCCTTACGCCTGTTCTGACCCTGCTCCTGTCTAGTTCTGGACTTAGTACTGAAGAGGGATCCCATGGTGGTAACGGGCACTGTTGGGGCAGGCTGGAATCTCAAGTTGCTCAATAGGCATGAAAGCATACACACTCTTCTCCTAGTCCTTGGTTTCCTAGCTTCCCTTGGCCTCCAGTTTCGGCCCTTGGAGACCTGTTCTTTCGAGATAATCTAGCCTGGCTGTCCTCTGGGGTGTACTTTGGGTGTTCTCTCCCTCTCCCTCTCTCCTTCCCTCTTTCCCTCCCTCCTTGCTTCTTCTCTTCCTTCAGTACAACATTCCTAGATTCCTACCTAACCTCCAAAGCCAGAAGGTGCCTTCTGTGGCAAATATTAATATTATTGTGTTGAGCTGGATATGGTGGCTCACACCTGTAATCCTAGTGCTCTGGAGGCTGAGGAAGGAGGGTTCAAGGCAGGGCTTGGCTACAGAGTAAGACCTTGTCTCAAAACTCCAAAATAAATAAATACATACAATTAGTCACACACACACACACACACACACACACACACACACACACACACACACACACTCCTCTGCCGGTGCTGGTCATGTAATCAATCTGTGTCAACCCTGAAAGCCATACTCTGTTCAATGCTTCACTAAGGTCTAGTTCACTACACCATACTGAAATCATAGAAGTCTAGAGGAGGGGGAATATCATATTCTTAAAAGAAGTTCTGCCAAAAAGAGCAGAAGGTTCATATCATCTTCTCTGAAAATCAGAAAAGGAAAAAAAAATGTATCAAAGAAAGCGGTATCGACTCTATAGTCTTCAAATAAACCCATCACTGTTTCCCTCATTACAAACACCCCTATCCTTGCTCTGGGCCTTGTAAGCACTACATATAGTCCATTTGTGGGTAAAGGTTGATAGTGTCAACATTCAGTTAGCGAGCATGTGATTGGAAACATGTTTGATCCTTCAAGTTCCCAGCATGCATTGCCTCATGATACTGGAGAATGACAGTCTACATCCCAGACCACAGTTGAACTATCTGTATGCTACATGTAAAAATAGCCCAGTCTTGTTGCAAAAACTGGGTGTTATCTTCGGCATCTCCCTCCCAAACCCTCCCGCAACCACCTCCTACATCCCATCTGCCTTCTCATCTTGTGGGGTTTACTCTCCCCACAAAGCTTGAGTGGTTTCTCCTTTCTTTCCTTTTCTCTCTCCAAGGAAATTTCAGTGTTAATAAAGACTAAAATGGATGGCCATATGTCACAGAGAACGAAGTCACTGCCTGTCTCCTGAGCTCAATGAGAAGGCGGCCTTCTACTCAGATAGGATAGACTTGCATGAGGAGGGAAGGCCCCTCACCCCAGCCCAGTCCCACCCCCACAGGAGCTAGCTCCCTCTCCCCTTCAGCTCTCAGTCTTGGGGAGATTCTCTCCAGCCTCCTGCCTACGTTGGAGTCTTTGATTATATGTTCACGGAGAGCCACTGTCTTCCCTTAATACCAGTTATCACAGATTATAAATGCACCCACATCTGTGTCCATGCCAGGAGTCCACTAGACCACAGCATGTTTATCCCTAACTACATTTCATGATAGTGGGATGGTGTGGGGGGGTACTGTGGGGGAGGGGCAGAATTTTTGGTATATGTTGTATTAAACCAGGCTAAGCAAATTCCATTACTGGTGGACTCCACAAATTTCAAATGCTGTAATATTATACTATTCAGGATAGTAACTCAATATATTATCACTTATATTGAATAACAAAATATTATAAATATATAATTCTAGCTTTAGTTTTAACTGAGAAGTGTAAAAGGACATTATTTCAAGTGACTGCCTCTAAACTATTATGGAAAGGGAGGAGAAGACAGTGAATATATAGAGAAATAATTATTTTAGGTTGAATGGGTAATAATGTTGTGACATTCATGAGTTTACTAGTGAAAAATTATCTCCTGGAGAGAATTTAGCACAGCGGTTCTCAACCTTCCTAATACTGTGACCCTTTAGTACAGTTCCTCATGTTGTGGTGACCCCAACCATAAAATTATTTCCTTTGCTACTTTGTAACTGTGATATTGCTACTGTTATGAATCATAATGTAAATATCTGATATGTAGGATATTTGATATGCAACCCCCATAAAAGGGTCGTTCATCCCCAGAGGGGTCGTGACCCACAGGCTGAGAACCACTGCTTTAGCAGGGAGCATTTCCTCCTGTTTTTGTTCGGCTTCACAATACCACACGTGATCACATGGGAGTCAGGGGGCAAAGAGCAGACAGCTTGTTTGGAAATTAACACACATTTGGTTTTGCGTGTTAGCCGCTCAACTCAGACAGTTGATTCTATTGTCAGGACTCAAAACAGCAAAAGGGTAAACTTTCCTTTTTTTTTTTTTTTTTTTTTTCGGTAAAAAGAGAGAATGTAGAAGTCATTTGTGAGAATCTGAAGGCTTTGGGCCATTTTGTATCTGCTGCTGAAGATACTTAATGTGGGACAACGTGAACACAGGCACGTGGTACTTAATGTGGGACAACGTGAACACAGGCACGTGGTACTTAATGTGGGACAACGTGAACACAGGCACGTGGTACTTAATGTGGGACAACGTGAACACAGGTAGGTACACGGTACAACAGTAGGGAGAGGAAGGAGTTCTGAAGAATGTTAGGCCATGTGGATTGGGTTTAACCATGGCCATCTCTGCTGTCCACCCTGTACTCTGTCTTCAATCCTTCTTAAAGGAGGTTGAGCTGCAGATGAAGGCAACCCTTTAAAGTGATTCTTGACACCTGGATGCAAAGGGTGTTGAGAAAAGATTTGCTTTAAGCCTCCGTGTTCATGGCTTGAGGCTGTTTCTTTGAGGTCCGAACTGAAGAGCCCACGTTCTAAGTTAAAAGATGGAGCACCTTCGTCTGGAACCCACCATGAAGCGTCTGAAAGGCAGGAGGGGTGACTTGATCTGATGACTGAGCAGAAATCCAGTCTGCTTCCTCATGTGTCCATCAGCCTCTCTCCTATCCTCCCTGGCTTGGGGATTTCCCTCAACTCTACCTTCTGGGTCACCACTCTTGCCACGGTGATAGAAGACCCCCACCTTTTCTCCACTCTTGACCTCCATAGGTACAACCCAGTCCGAACTTCCTTGAGAGTTTGGAAGCACGGCTACTTCCCTCCCCCCCACCCCAAAAGGATGTATGCAGTTAAGCAAATACAGTGTACATGCGTGCAGCGTATGTACATGCAATCATATGTGTGCATGTAAGCATCTGTGTGTATGTATGTATGCAGACAGTGTATATGCACTTGAGCATATATGTGCATGAATATGTGTGTGTGCATGCATGTGCACTGACTGTGTGCCTTTGGTTCTTTGGGGAACACCTTTACAAAGAGAACCATGGCATTGGAAATAGAGATTGGGTCCGGTAAGACCTTGTCACCACTTTGCGTCATGTTAGAAGAAGAATAGGAGCTCACTGTGCGTTTGTTCCCTGGTCTCTAAATAGACTTCACCATCCACTTAGCTGGGCTCCAGGAACAAACAAAACTTAGCCTCAACTTCCTGCCTGGCACCTCCATCTTTTGGACATTTTCAGTTTTCTCTATATGTTCCTCTGACCAGCTAGCTCCCAAGCTCTCCAACCACAGCTCTGGCTGTAGACACCGCCTTCCTACAGACACAGTGCTCGAAGGGTCATCCAAAGAGCCATAGCTGTAGCGAGTCAGTCTAGTCCCTTCCAACAGAAGCAGTCCAAATCCCTTTCAGAACAAGGCCTCCAGAATGAGAGGTGTCTAGGTCATGTCTTCAGGAAAAGGGTCTCCCCCGCTCCTTCATTCCCTGATCTCCTCACCGTCAATAATTTGATGCCAAGTCTTGCGGCCATGTCAGAAGCATCCTGGGTGTTTCCTATGGAAACCGCTGCCTGCTAACCCTCTGCAGGCTTCTCTGGGGAGAGTCAAGCTTCCCTCTTCCCCTTGTGTTCAGCCTAGTTATTCAACATAAAAGAGGAAATGAGGGTTGAGGTGTCTAGCGTTCGAATTTAGCCTACAATGCTCCTTCCACTTTCTCATCCAAGTCACTTGTGGTCAGAACATTCCATGGTCTCCAAACTCCTTTCAGATCATCTTAGACCTTTACATTTGAGATGCCCATGGAGGACATGTCACCATGAGGGGTCCCTTCAGCTCAACTAGCTGAGAAAAGCACTGGTTTCTCAGCCAAGCCTCTATGGAGACTAGAGACAGGACTAAGCAGCCTTTCTACCACAAACTGACACCAGAGCCAGGCCTTGAGTGCCACAGTCTGTTTTCCGGCTTCCTAGCCTTTATTCAGTAC